GAACTTACAAATCAAAACCAGAAAAAGAAACCACATATTGCTAATAAGATTAACAAGAAATCAAATTGGAATAAACACTAACTCAAAAATCAACAAAATATTTAACAGCTGAAGAAAAATCATTGTTTTATAAATTTATATATTGCATAAAAAATCTGAAGACATTAAAAAAAAAAATAAGATTTATATAAAGAAATATAAAAAAAATTAAATATTTAAAAATAAAAACAAAGAAAAGTGTCCACCCAAAAATGACTGAAACACTAAAAGAATAAAACTTTATTATGCCAAAAATGTGCCCCCTTAGTCTTGGGGAGGTGAATATAAAAAAAAAAAAATTAAAATATAATTATTAAATTCTTTTAAAGATTAAAACTGATAACTAAATTTCAAACATTTTTTAATTATTCAATTTTGAATTAAATATATGAATAATTTATGATGGAGCCATCCTAAATCAAAAAAAAATAATCCCAAAGTTTGACTCCACCACATGACAAAATGATTAGTTTACTAGACTTAGAACCATTCTGCTCCAGCTATTATTCATTTATTCAACTTTGAATCAAATGTAATAAAATAATAACATTTTAAAACTTTTATTTTTAATAACTAAAATTTTAAATAATTTCAATTCTAGATTATAAAATGACACATTAATTTTCTATTGCAAAGAAAAAAGTATGGAAAAAAAAAATCTTTGTGCTATTACTTGCAACGCTTTGAAGCCACCCCTGGAGCCAGAAATGGAGCCACCCTTCTGTATTCCCTCTTAGTTAAACTTAACAAAGCGTTAGTCGAAAATATCATTAACAAAAAAAAATTTTAATATAATTTTTTAAACATAAATGTTTTATTTTAGTATTAGTTTTATTAAAACAAATTTAAATAAAGTTCTCTTCATTTCTTTACATAGAAGTATTTGAAATTTTAGTCAAAAGCTCCATTAGGCTTAACGGAGAGATGTAAATACGACTGCAGAGCTTTTCTTTTTAACAAGGAATGATGTCATCATGTCCCTGGTAACACCATGCTCAACTTGTTTCTCCCTGCAGCGGCCTTGTTTGTTAAGGTTCTTGTTTCGAATTTATGGTTGGGAGAGGGTTGTAACCGTTACTAAATACAGCCTCCTCAACTTTAGCAGCCTTCATAGTCTTGGATAGGTGAATTAACATAAAAAAATATATATCTGATGAAAGTCAAGAAACAAGCATAAGCCAAAACATCCGAAACGACACAAAATTTCATTTAAATCAATTCTGGTAGAGATTAAGACAAGTTTAAAAAAGAGTTTTATACCTATAGAAAAAAAGGCGTAACCAAAATTAATTTTAAAGATCACTACATACAAATTTCATTTGTATGTAGTGATCTATGTTTGATTGAATTATGTTTGAGGAAATAATATCCAGAATAAATAAAAAAGTTACACAGAGTAGTCACATGTTTGCCAGTCTCACAAACAAATACAGAGAGATTATTTTCTGCACAAAAGTTTATATCAAAAATTTTATTTTGATAAACCTTAATATAAATTTTTGATATTTTATACTTTAAACCTTTAAAATATAAAATATTTTAAAATATAAAATATCTTAAAATATAAAATATTTTAAAATATAAATATTTTAAAATATAAAATATTTTAAAATATAAAATATTTTAAAATATAAAATATTTTAAAATATAAAATATTTTAAAATATAAAATATTTTAAATAAAATTTTATATTTTAACATATTTTGAATTTATGTAAATTTTTTATTTATTGTAATTTTATATTTTATAGCTAACATTAGACCTCTAAAAATTTCTTTTAAAGTAAGCAAATACATAAAGCTAATATATAAGATGCCAATTATAAGCTGTATGTATAGGTAGATTGCACACAAAAACATTGTGTAAGTAGATTTTATACACGCAATGTTTTTGTGTGGAAATAAGAATTTTTTAACAAAACTTTTTTTTCATAAATTATGTTTTTACAATTGCCTATGAAAATAAGCTTTTTTAAATATTTCATTTTTTATTAGTTCATGCCAAGTAATCTGTACATACAAGCAATCAAATAATTATTATTTATACCATAAAAACCATTTTAATTTGTTTCTCCAAAAGTTTCTTAAACAATCATGTTCTTTGCATATAGCACTTACATATAAATAAAAAATGAATAAATATAAAAATATAATAATAATGAACCCAAAAAATCTCTGATAAATTACTTACCAATAAACATAATGAAATTCATGTGTATTGAAAAGTTCTAACTCAAAACCAAGAAAAGTATGTTGTATCATGATAGAAAGAGAGTGATATAGAACCCAAGATTCAAAGCATGCCAAATGTTGTCTCTAAATAAATAATTTTATTTTAAAAAATGACAAAAAAAAATATCTAAAAGTTAGTTTGAAATGATTGTTTTTAAAATATTTCACATGAAATCATTTGTTCATCATGGTTTATTGTATATGCTTATATGAACTATCATATATAAATAAGGTTACATGGTTAAACCATATAATAAACTACTATGGTTAATAATTTATTACAAGGTTTATCATAAAGCTTATATAGCTTATAATATAGCATATGGAGTTAAGAGTTTATGGAGCATTAGTTTTTAGACTCTTAATTTTATCCTATTATTAGGGTTATCCTAATTTTTTTCATTAAAATAAAAATAATAATGTGCAAACAACATAGAATTACCAAAAATATAATTACCTTGGTATCAATTGCTTGTAAAATAATGTGGAGGGCATGGTCAGCTTGATCAGCCTATATAAATGTAAATATATATATATATATATATATATATATATATATATATATATATATATATATATATATATATATATATATATAAATATATATATATATACATATGTATATATATATATATATATATATATATATATATATATATATATACATATGTGTATATATATATATATTAAAATATTCATAAATATATATATATATATATTATTATTATTATTATTATAGTTGTAGCCGTAAATTTACATAGAATGTACACATACAGCGAGCAGGGGAAACACCCCACTATAAACAACCAGTTTTATAAATATTTGTTCCAAACTTTTTCCACAACCAGGAGTCTAGTCTATTTTTGAAAGAAAGTACAGTGGAGTACAAAGTTATTTGCTCTGGTAGATTGTTCCAGTATTTTGCTGATCTATTATACAAATGATTATATCTTGGAAGACAGTTTAGAACATACTCACGCCTTATTTTAGAATGGTGACCACGAGACACGGAGTTAATATATTTTGGTAGATATTTATCATTAACTATATCAAAACGATGTATTAATTTAAAAATTTGGATTAAATCGCATCGAAGGCGTCGAAACTCAAGTGATGGTAGGTTTAATCTTTTTAGCCTTTCGCAGTATTGAAGATGCCTCAAGCTGTAAGCCCATTTTGTAGCTTTGCGTTGAACAGATTCAACCAAAGCCATATCAGCTTTTAAAAAAGGAGCCCAAATGGACACTCCATATTCAAGATGTGGTCTTATAAATACTTTATATAATTTGAGAGCCATTTTTTCATCAATGAAAGTGAATGTCTTTTTCAGCATACCGAGAATTTGTAAGGACTTAGAGACAACTGTTTGAATATGAGCGCTCCACTTGAGGTTAGATGTAAAAATGACTCCTAAATCACGTTCTTTAGTAGAGCTTCTTAGAGATTGGTTGATTCCTTGGTTATTTTGAAGAAAGTAATTGTAATGGGGGTTGTTTCGACCGTAATGAATGACGCAGCATTTTGAAGTGTTTAGCTTAAGTAACCAAGTGTTTGACCACTCGTATACCAAGCGTAGACGATCCTGCAGATCAACAAAATTAGATTGCGATAAGGTTTTAGAAAAAAGTTTAGTATCATCGGCAAATATCTCAGAAGTTTCAGTGAGTTTTGCGAGATCATTTGTGTAGAGAATGAAGAGGAGCGGGCCGAGAACAGAACCTTGAGGAACACCACTGAGAACATCAACCCATGCAGAGCTGGTATTGTTAATTGTAACGCGTTGCTTTCTGCCCACTAAAAAAGATTTAATCCATTGTAGGAGTTTGCCGTTTATTCCGAAAGATCTTAATTTTAACAAAAGTCTGTTGTGAGGTACAGAGTCAAACGCTTTGGCAAAGTCAAGATAGATTACATCAATAAATTGGTGAGATGCTATGGAGGACGAAATGATATCAAAAGTTTCTATTAGGTTAGTTACGCATGATTTATGATAAAGGAAGCCATGTTGATTTGCAGAGAGCATTTTATTATCGTTAATGTGCTTTAAAATTTTTTTCTTTACAAGTTTTTCAAAGATTTTACAGGCAACAGATGTTAGTGAAATAGGTCTATAGTTTTCAGCAAGTAATTTATCTATATATATATATATATATATGTATATATATATATATATATGTAATATATATATATATATATATATATGTATATATATATATGTATATATATATATATATGTATATATATATATGTATATATATATATATATGTATATATATATATATATATATATGTATATATATATATGTATATATATATGTATATATATATATGTATATATATATATATATATGTATATATATATGTATATATATATGTATATATATATATATGTATATATATATGTATATATATATATATGTATATATATATATATATATATATATATATGTAATATATATATATATATATATATATATATATATATGTATATATATATATATATATGTAATATATATATATATATATATATATATATATATATATATATATATATATACATATAAATATATATGTATATATTTGTATATATTTATATATAAATATATACATATATATTTATATATAAATATATATATATATATTTATATATAAATATATATATATATATATACATATAAATATATATATATATATATATATATATATATATATATTTAATAATAATAAAGTCTTACTATATATATATTTATATATATATATATATATTATTATTATTATTATCATTATTAATATTATTATTATTATTATTATTATTATTATTATTATTATTATTATTATTATTATTATTATTATTATTATTATAATTTGTTAAACAAACCTCAAAAATTGACAATTACTGAAACTATTAATATTAACACCTAACTTAACTTAAACACAAAACAACACAAAACTTTACTTAAACACCTTTTTTAAACTTTATTCAGAAGTTTTATTTAAAGTACTATAATATAAATGAAACTAATACTTCAATTTGCAGCGCTCCAAATTCAGCCAACAATATACCAAGCTTTTCTCTTTGACGAGCTCGATTATGTCCATAAGCTTCTATAAGTCCTAACATAGGCTTTAAAAAATATAAATTATTATTTCTTCATAAAACTCTATTCAAAAAACTTATCAATAAGATTTATAAATTTTTTAAAAAGTATAACTAAATAAATGTGTTTATATAAATTAATGCTCAGAATAATGGTCAGCAGTCATTCTAACTGATACTCTTAAGTTAAAATTTTTGCAAAACTTTTAACTTTTTGAAAACAATTCAGGTCAAGTTCTTAGTTTTAGCTGATGACATAAAAATTTAAAATAAAAACTCAATAATCTTTAATAAAAAAAATTTAAAAACAGATGATTAGAAAAAAACTCAATAATAAGTAAATTTTAATGCAATTGTTGCGGATGTGACACAAAATAACTGACTATTTTATCTTTCAAGACCAAATTTTTTCTCATTAATTTCAGCCAATTTGACTGCCAACAATCATTTCTTTATTTCATGGGTTGTGTATAATTTAATACAAAATCAACCTTTACTGCTCTTGCAAAAAAATTTCCCACAATGACTTTTGCTTCATTTGAAGATAGTGGTGTACTTAAATTAAAAAAATACTTTATTTGTAAATGTTTATTATCATTAGAATAAATATATATATATAATTATATATACATATATACATATATATATATATATATATATATATATATATATATATATATATATATATATATATATATATATATATATATATATATATATATATATATATATATATATATATATATATATATATATAAATATTTTAGGGTGTGTCATAAAACAACATTTCTTGAAAATGTCTGAAAAGGTTCTTTCATATCTTTCATATCTTCTAGATATAAAGTCTTTCATATCTTCTAGATATGAAAGACTTTATATCTAGAAGATATGAAAGATATGAAAGGACTTTTATTAAGTAAAAAAAAATTCCTTTTATTTTCTTTTATTTATCTTCTCTAAACCAGCCCCATTGGAGAAAGAGGGTTATTAATTTTAATGTATTATTTTAATGCCGAAAAAGCACTTGGTTAAAATCTTTGTTAAAAGATAATCTCTGATTTCACCTTTTGTATTATTAATAATAAATATATACATAAATTCTCAAAAATCTACTTACAGGTCAGCAACAGCAGGTGTACCATTGAATAACTTAACTGCTTCTTTTAACATATCAATTATAGGAAATTTACCAAATATTTTGTTACCAGGGTGACAAATAACTAACTGAAAAAATTATTTTAAAATTTAAAAAATCATTAGTATTGTCCAAAAAAAAATTAACTTTATGCAATATTAGTAATATAAATATACATTCATTTGTATGTATAAATAAATATATATATATATACATATATATATATGTATATATATATATATATATATATATATATATATATATATATATATACATATATATACACATATATATAAACATATATATATATATATACATATATATATATACACATATATATATACACATATATATATATAGATATATATATATATGATGATGATGATGATGATGATGATGATGATGATGATGATGATGATGATGATGATGATGATGATGATGATGATGATGATGATGATTTAATAAAAATTTTAATAAAATTTTTTACCTGTAAAATTGATCTGGATAGTACACATGGTATTTGTTTACTGAAATCGCATTGAAACTCCTATAAATAAAATTTAGAATATTAACAGTTTATATTCACCTTATTATTTATTCATATATTTGATATTTATTTATATTAAATTTATTATTTTTAACCAACTTTAAATTTTTGAAAATGATGTTTATATAAAAACACCAATAATTTTAAAAATATACAAGGTTAACAAAATACATCAAAAAAAATTATTAACTCACTAAAATTATGTGAAAATTTGAGCATTCTGTCACAGAACAAATATTTAATAACCGCGTCATAAGAGAATCAATATACCCTAAAAACTGTATTAAAAAAAAAAAAAAAACAAGATTTTATATCTAAGAATTTTAAATATTTTGAAATTTTTCATTATGGCTTTTGAAAACAAATGAAACTTAAAAAATAATATAAAAACTCCCACTTTTTCTTGTGTAAAGATTTGAGTTTGTCTGGGAAATGATGGTGGAAGAAGTCGCTGATTTACTAAAGGATCAAATCCCAACATATAGTTTTCTGAAACAAACATAAATATCGGCAAATTAAAACAATATCATTTGAACATAACTATAGTATCTAAAAATATTTCACATAGTAAAATATAAATAAAATTCTTCATATAGTACCAAATTATCATTATAACATTAAAACACTCATCATAATAATATCATCTTTATAATATCTATCATCTTCGTAATATCTATCATCTTCAAACAAAAGACTAAAACAGATCACCTTTTGTATTATCAGGCTTTAAACCCAGATGTTGAGTGGATGACATTTCTTTCAAAGATTCTTTTGCAGTTGATAAATACTCCTTGCAACGCTTCATTTCAGAGCACTAAAAAAAGAAACTGTGTTAAACACATAAAAAAAATATTACTATGAATTATAATCAATGCTTTTATATTAAATGTAATGAATACTTTACATCTTGTTTTTCAAATACCAACAGAGCACAATATAGAGCACGCCAAAACTTTAGCCGTATCTTGATGGCTTTGCAAATATCAATCTAAAAGAAAACCATAACTTTTTAAAATTGGTTTAAATATAACTTCATACTTCCATTTAAAATTTTCTGTAATTTGAAACCTAAGTTTGCAACTACAGAAAATTGTTGCAATTTTAATTGTTTCAGAACATCTTAAAAGAAAAAAAAGAAAGATTTTCTTAAACCTCATTCTTTGAGTTCTCTTCATCATTCAGATAAATCTATAATAAATAAAAAAAAGATTGCATATCATAGCAACCTTAATCATATCATAGCAACCTCAATCATATCATAGCAACCTTAATCATTAGACTATGACTAAAAATTAGCAAAAATATACACAAAATGTACACAGAGACATTCACACGGAAAGTTATATAAACATAATAATAACATTATAAAATATTATAAACAAAAACTATATATAATAAAATTTTAATTTAATCAATACAATTTATTTATATATTATAGTATTAAGATAAAACAACATTCACTTTGAGATGCCTTGTAATTTCCTCATCAGCTTCTCTAAGCATACCTAAAAATCATTTAGGAGATGTTGTTAATTAAACACAATAACATCAAGAGATACTGCCTATTAGTAGCAAAGTCATGAGACACTGCCTGTAAGTAGCAAATTTGAAAAAATACAACTTACCAGATATTCTCAACTCTGTAACATTACATGCTAATTTGAAACCATAAGTTAATGGTTGGAAGTCTTCCTATCCAAATAAATATAAAGAAAAAAATTTTTTACACATTATTAATGAGATTTTACATTTCAATCTTTAGTTCTAGAACAGTGGTTCCCAACCTGAGGGTCGCAACCCCAACGGGGGTCACCTGACAATATGCAAGGGGTTGCCGTTAGACCATCTAAAAATAATTTATTTGCACTAGTTAGTGGTTTTTTTTTATCATTGTAAATTTAAGCAATACTCCTACTCTGAATACAGTCATTATAGTGCACTTTTATACAGTTTTATAACCTCAACTTTATTGGCTTCAATTGCGGGTGGATCTTTCAATTGTGTGTGGCTCTTAACTGTATAATGAACATTGCAAATATATAATTGTTTTGTTGATAAATTATTTTAAATGGGTTATAAAAAAATTTGTAACAAAAATATTCTGAAAATAGATTACCTCCTCGTATACCTTTGCTCTTGTACAAATATTTCGAACAATATCAACCATTTTTAAAGTAGATATACAGAATGCCTTAAAAAAAAATTAATTTGACAAGTTTGTTATTTAAAAATCTAAAATAGAAACAAGAAAATATTAATTCATAACTAAAATTTTTATGGAAAAGGAGTACAGCGGTGAGTTGTGGTACAGTAGTGGGTAGTAAGACAAACTTTTTACCCAGTGATGTAATAAATTATGTTGGGTGGTAGAATAGTCTTTACGTGTATAGATGTAAAGGATTTTTTCATATAGTAGTAAAGTTATAATGCTAATTGTAGATGAGTAGATAAGTGCTGGGTTGTAGATGAGTAGATAAGTGCTGGGTTGTAGATGAGTAGATAAGTGCTGGGTTGTAGATCAGTAGATAAGTGCTGGGTTGTAGATCAGTAGATAAGTGCTGGGTTGTAGATGAGTAGATAAGTGCTGGGTTGTAGATGAGTAGATAAGTGCTGGGTTGTAGATGAGTAGATGAAGTGCTGGGTTGTAGATGAGTAGATAAGTGCTGGGTTGTAGATGAGTAGATGAAGTGCTGGGTTGTAGATGAGTAGATAAGTGCTGGGTTGTAGATGAGTAGATGAAGTGCTGGGTTGTAGATGAGTAGATAAGTGCTGGGTTGTAGATGAGTAGATAAGTGCTGGGTTGTAGATGAGTAGATAAGTGCTGGGTTGTAGATGAGTAGATAAGTGCTGGGTTGTAGATGAGTAGATAAGTGCTGGGTTGTAGATGAGTAGATAAGTGCTGGGTTGTAGGATAAAATTATTAATTATTTTCATTCTGATTGCAATTATTAAAGATGTCCTTAATGGATAATATTCTTTATTTCTAGTAACCTTTGGGGTACAAAGAGATTCCATTTTCAGTCCCATATTGTTTTTCATCAATATTGTTGATTAAAAGATTAGTAAAATTAGCATCAGTTAAAGTTTCCTTTCTTTATTGTGGTCTCACTTTCTTAGTCCTAATTCTTTTCTACCTCTTTTTCTTTTTATGGAGATTTTTTTTCATATTTGGGCTGCTTTTTACAATAATGCCCATTCTATTTTAGACAAAGTGGTAAAAAGTATGATAAATGAAGTTAAACCTACTCTAGTATCCACGCCTCTTCCTCTTTTTTACAAACACTTTCATGGTTTTTTGAATATATAATCATATATAAGCTGTTAAACTTTTTTAAGAAAATTTATACAAAAATAAACTATACATTTACACATATTTTATAATAAGTTATATAATGTTCACTTAGGTTATAAAACAAATATAATAACACTAATGCAAAATAGTTTACCTTTAGAACAACATCTTCAATAACAGATGGATTATGGCAATATAAACAAGTAAATACAGTTTGTACCAAAGAATGCCCATCCAGCCAGGTGCACTAAAAAAATATAATTTTTTTAAACTAAAAACAAAAATTATAATTAATTATAATTGCTACACTAGATGTAAACTAAAAATTATAATTATAATTGCTACACTAGGTGTAGAATAATTTTTGGTAATGCAATACAAGTAGATTTTCACCAGGAAGAACATCTGGTCAACTCGTTATTGTCATATTTTGAAAAAAAAAAGTTGCATTAAAGAAACTCGGCCAAACCACACTGTTGTGAAACCTTAGACATTTATCATTAAAAAAAGCAAAATCCGCATATTTATTGATTTTTTATATATATTCATATATAGATTTTTTAGATTTTCATTAACTGATATTATAAGTTTTTTAAAATTTGAGATTTCATCTTTAATTAAATTTGAATATTTTTTTGAAAATCAGATATTTAAATTTTTAGATGTACTATTAAATTTATAACTATTTGGTAGCATAAAAAAAATTCTAAATAATTAAATCCATTATTAAAACCAAAAAAAATTGTAATTATAATAATATTTATAGTTTGGACTTACAAAACATGCTGTGAGCTCATTTATAACACCCAACACTTCTCCTTCTGTTAATTCTTTAACTTTCAACTTTCCTGCCTATGAGAAAAAATATAAAGAATAAAAACAATTAACAACAATTATTATTAATTTATAAATTTATGAAGGTAAATACTAATAGTATAAACTTTTAAAGGTAAATAGTCAAAAATTAACACATCCACTGAGTTTGCGCAATACACTTTAACCATACTGTTATATCTAACATACTGCTAAAGACATATATATATGATCAAGAAATTAAAAATTTTCTGAACATACTAATCATCTTGACACAACTTTATTATATTATTTATATAATAATCTTCTATATTTCTTTAAATAATAGTAATAATAATAACTGAAATAATAAAAATAAATAAAAGTAAATTACTGTTATTGCTGCCTGAAGCTGATATACTTTTCTTGTACGATTACAAACCATTCCTGCATCCATCTTAGGATCCATTATTTCAATAGCTGACATAGCTTCAAACAATCCAAAACTTAAATAAAACAAAGAAAAATAACCAGAGGAAGTTTTCATCATCATCATCATCATCATCATCATCATCATCATCATCATCATTATCATCATCATCATCATCATCATTATTATCATCATCATCATCAGCAACAGCCTCATTATATGAGCCTTATATTTTACATTTCTATACATCCATTTACCATAGATCATCCTAGTCATATTTTAAAAATTCGTAAAATTGTTTGAATAAATTATCCGGAAAAATCCGGTATTTGTTTTACCTTATTTTCTTTTTAATTTTGCTTTTAGCTAAGTTGTTTCTAAGGGTCAGGGCAATAACATCCGTTTTTGCCATGTATAATAACATCCATAAAACAACATCTGAAATTTCATCAATGTATAATAACATCCGTGCAACAACATCCCAAATTTCATTGATGTATAATAACATCCATAAAATAACATCCCAAATTTCATTGATGTATAATAACATCCGTGCAACTACATCTGTAGATTTTTCGGATGTAACTACATGCGAATGCATAATTTTAACCAGATGTAGTTACGCATCTGATTTTTTTCGGATGTAACTACATCCGCCAAAAAAAAATTATTATAATGCATTATTTTAAGCATAATAAATTTTATTATTTTTTAATTATTTGATAGACTGCCTGCCCAAACCTAACCCTCAGTCGATGTAGCAGCACTCTGTTGCGAGTCAAGCTATTTGTCAGTCGATGTAGCAGCACTCCATTGCAAATCAGGCTATTTGTCAATCGATGTAGCAGCACTTATATAATATAATAATTATATATGTAACTTATAAATGTAACTACATCTGGAATTTTTTTTTTAATAATGCATTATTTTAACCAGATGCAGTTACACATCTGATTTTTTTCGGATGTAACTACGTCCAAAAATTTATTTTATTTAATAATGCATCATTTTAGGCGGATGTTAATTCATTAAAGAAAAAAAGCGGATGATCTTACACAAAAATGTGCGGATGTTATTTCGCTACTCCATGGATGTTGTTGGACAGATGTAGTAATCTTTTCCTGTTTCTAATTTTTTTTGACATTTTCATAACTTTTCTATGAGTGATGAGTATCTTAACTTCCATGTATTAAAAATATTTTGGATATCGGTAAAAACTAAAAATTGAAAAAAATATCAGGAATTCTGGAAATACCCTGAAAAAGATTATCCCTGATCTATGCATTAAATTATGTGAGTGTTGAAAAAAGCTGAGGACAATATATAATTATTCAAAAACTTTAGGTTTTCAATATTTACCTTTTAATTTGTAAATTTTTGCATTAATTTAAAACAGTTATGAAAACTTTTGTTAAAATAAATGAATATAATAAGTTATACTGTTAAGAGGTGACACTATAAATTATTACACACTTAAGTCATGGGACTATGGTGGTTACATACTTAAGTGAAAACTGTAACTTATAAAACTAACACTGTCTAAATAAATATTCACATGCTTGCTGATTATTTTGCTTGGATTAACTTTTATGTAATTTGTTACATTTCGTTATTTTATGTCATGTTAAACAAATAAAAAAGTTTTTCTTCTGAAGCTGAACATTTTGATTTTTTTTTTATATATATTTCAATAGAAAAGTTTTATAAAAATGAAAACTATATTTAATCTGAATTTATAAAATTTGTAAATATTGAGCCTAATTAATCTATTTGAAATTTAAACTTTTGTCACACATTTTTACATCATTAAATACTTTTAAAACAAATGTAAACTTAGTAATAAATTCAGTATTGTATAATTTAGGGATGATCCCTTTAGCTCAATTCAAAACAATTTTCAATATAGAAAAAAAAGCCAGCAATATTTAATTTTTATTACCAGCAATTTTATGTAAAATTAAATTATTATTTTTTTTCTCCAAATTGATTGTTATACACTTGTGTTATTAAAATGTGTTATTGACACATGCGTAATTTGAACAACTTTAATGTATGCTTAATGTAAAAGAAAAATCTAAAAATTTGATTATTGACTTACAGGTTATCATGTACTAGCTCGCCAAGCTTTAATTCTAAAAAAATATAAAGTTTAAAAACTCAACTAATTTTTTAAAATGATGCAAAATATAAAACAATTACGTAAATAACAAACCTTTGCAAGATTTTTGAAATTCATCTCTAACATTTACCCAATTGAATGTAACTCCAGTGGACTCTGCCAACCATATAATAATAATAATTTTTATATAATTAATTATTGGGAAAATAAAAAAATAATTATATATTATAAACAAATGGGTAATGTGTACCAAGAGACACAATTTCCTAATACATTTTACTCACTTAAATTTTAAAACTGCGTGCTTTAAGTTTTTGAAAAAAAAAAAAAAAAAAACAATGATGAAAAAAACAATTGCTGTTCCAACCCAAACCCTCAGGGCGTGAATTAGGCATATCGCAATTGCGAATCACGATTGCTTTTCACACCTTCGCCATTAGTTTTTTCTTTAAAAAAATATTTTCGCGATTTGTTTTTGTTTTTTTTGGGTTGTCCATTTACTTTTTTTCTAATTTAGCTTTTTTTTTGGCAACTCTTAAAAGTAATGTTTTTGCTACAAAGTACATCCCGCTAAACTTATTTTTCAAATAGAATGATCATTTGCTCTTTTGTGCGGACATTTTCATTCAACATAACACTTTTGACTTTAAATTACTTTAAATCTCTGCATGAAAGCCAATAATATTTTAGAAGGTTTTTAAAGCGAAAAGTTGAAATGGGAAAAGAAAATTTTTTTCTTCATTCTTTTTTTTAACAAAACAGCCCGGTTTTTATATTTGTTTTTAAACATTGTACCAAACTCACTTAAATTAAATAATTTTAGTTATTATTTTATCAACAATTGTATATAATTAATTTTACTACTTTAAGTATATCAAAATATATATTCGTTTTTATAAAAAAAAAATTCTATTAGTTAATAAATGCTATTAGAAACCAGCAACTTTTTTGTTGCAACATTTTTCGCTTTAACGACCTTGAACCATTTATAGTTATATTTACTTTGATTTACTGTATAAAGTACATCACAGTAAATTTACTTATTAACTAAATCAAAACAACTAATCAATTATATCAATTTACTTAATATACTCAAAGACTCACAAAAGTTAGCCATACAAATGTTTCTATTATATCTTATATGTTGTTAACACATAATATAAGCTTCTAACTATAAATTATTTTAACAAAAATTGTCGAATAGAATACGAAAAAATGTGACACCATTTTTTATATTTTCATTTTATTTAAAGTGTAAAAATATCAAGATTAAACTATAAATAATACTTTTCTATAAATACACAAGATGTTTTTAGGAATATTTATTTAAAAAGAAATGTATTTAAACAAAAGAATTTTAGTATTTTAAAATTCTCTTATTCAAATTATTTTACAATTAAAATTTAAAATTGAAAAAAAGTTTGAAAATTTTTAAAAGAATTTGAAGAAACATGGGAGAATGAGGAAAAAAGTTTTTTTTTGTAAATTGTAAACTTCGTAAACATTTCAAATAATTAACTATATTTTGTTTCTTGAAAATAGTTTTATTATTAGAAGTTTTTATTTTATTGCAAACCAGTGATTGCAAAAATTAAGATAAAAATTAAATTAATAAAAATAATTTAAAACTATTGAATTATTTTACTTCTGTTTAAAGAAATTTTTTTCTAAAAAAATAATTTAAGCCTACTCTTAAACTGTAATTAAGTCTGTAAATTGTGACGTATAATTTAAAGACTCCGAGCTTATTGAAAAAAATGGTGAAGGCAAGCTTCGGCTAAAACAACAACATTAGTTTTTCTCGGTATGCATTCATTATTTAATTTTAATCAAAAAAACTTGATTCAAACCTTTTTTTTTAACATTATTATTAATATGAACACAACATGTGTTGGGAGTTTGGGATCCCTTTAAGCTGTAAATTATGATGGTAACTTAAGCTATTTTAAACTCTGCCAAAATAAAAAATTATAAGATAATATTCAAATATAAAAGATAACATGTTAAAAAAATAACAATTACATACAAAAGATACAATTTTATACTAACGCAACCCCCCACCCCACCCATTATTATTGCAAAGTGGCATTAGCTTTGAGGTGGGGGGGGGGGGGTTAGAGATTTTTTGGCGTTAATTCAATCCCCAACACGTTCCTGGGTGTACAAAAAATTCAAGCCCTGTACATATATAACTTATATATAGTACAAAATCACTTATCAAACTTTTTTCATTTTACACTGTGTTTCATCAATAAAGACTCATCAGAAAACATTTATCTGAAGAGTCTTAATAGATAAAACACAGTGTAAAATGAAAAAAGTTTGATAAGTGATTTTCTACTGTTGTTTTTTTTAAACATTGAGCATAGCATTTATAAAATACATTTAAAATTATACATTAATCCCCTATATTTCATTTTTACTGGTAGGCATTAAAGGGCGATTATCAAAGTAATATGGTGATTTATGTTAAATGAAAATCTCCACGGAAGAGTGCCATCGATCTCCTTCTTTTAATTATTGAGTTCTGATTAGCATCTTTTATGGACGAACTCTTACACCATCATGATATAATCACTGAATGGCTTTATCATGAAATTACTGAATGGCTTGTATCTAATAACAGTGAAACTACAGGAGTTAAGGCCCACAATTTTTGCCTTTCTCAATCTTTAAATCAAATAGTCAACTTTCCAACTCGCTTTCCAGACAACCCAAATCATTTACCTTCTCTACTTGACTTATGTCTTGTTTCTGATCCTAGTCAGTGCTCAGTGTCTCCACATTCACCTTTAGGTGCTTCTAATCATGGTTTAATTTTTCTAAAACTATTATCTAATTCTTTTTCATCATCGCCATCCTCTATCATCCTACCTCTAACAACTACCTTAAAACTGACTGGGACTCTTTCCGTGACTTTCTTCATGATGGCTCTTAGGTAGAATTCTTTTGTCTTTTTGCTGACAAATGTGCTTCTTATGTAATTTCTAGATTCAGGCTGGCATGGAATCTTTTATTCCCTTCCAACAATTGTAAGTCAAGCCTCACTCTTCTTCATGGTTTTCCTCATATTGATATTGAATTCATATATCGATTGGAAATTGCTGTTGCAATTTCCAATTGAAACCAATACTTCCATATCTATCAGCAAAACAACTTTTTAAAAAACAGACATCTGTTTACTATTGCTAGAAATCATTGTAAAAAGGTTTTGTCTAACGCTGAAGTCCATTATTCTCAGGTCACAAAGTCTAATATTTTATCTCAAAAATTAGGCTCTCAAGACTACTGGAGAATCTTTAAAAGTATCAATAATAAAGGCAAATTTGTTATTCTGCCTCTCTTCTATGATTCAAATTTTGTCACCACACCTAAAGACAAAGCTGCATTGCTTGCTAAGAGCTTTTCATCAATATCATCACTTGACTCCACTAGTAGCATTTTAACTGATATAGCCAACAAACAGGTTGATCCATTGCTTGACATTCCTATCGATTCAGCTTTTGTATCTAAAGTTATTTCCTTCTTCAACTCTTTTACAACTTGTGGTCCAGACAACATACCAGTTATAGTCTTGCAGAAATATTCTCCATAGCTATCTACATTTTCCAAACTATTCAACAAGTGCTTATCAGAGTCTTGCTTTCCAACCTGCTGGAAAGTGGCATCTGTTATCCCTATTTTCAAAAATTTTGAAGAGCGATCTGACTCATCTAACCTAAACAAACACCAAATCTCTTATCTTGAATCTAATAACTTTGAATCTAATAACTTTCTGATCATCAATATGGGTTTCAATTTTCTCATTCTACAGCCAATTTTCTTACAGTAAGAATCAATAGGTTTTAGTGTGCATTAGATAAATGTGGAGAAGTTAAGGCTATTGGTCTCAACATTTCTTAAGCTTTTGATAAAGTTTGGCATGCTGGTCTTCTTCATAAGCTTTCTTCTTATGGTGTATCTGGTAACATCTTTAAGATTATTGAATCCTTCCTTTCTAATCATAGTATAAAAGTTGCCCTCAATGAACAGCACTCTTTTTCATATCCTGTAATTTCAGGAGTTACTCAAGGTTCAATCCTTGGCTTTATACTCTTTTGAATTTACATTAACAATCTTCCAGAAATTCTCACATCTAAGGTAGCATTGTTCTGCTTGATAGAGAGCTAACACACTCTGATTGCTTCGAGGGGGCATTTTAGCTTGAAAAGGATCTCAATTCTGCTACTGCATGGGCCTCTCAGTGGCTGGTGAGCTTTAATTCAGATAAAATTTAGTTTTTTCCAGCTAATCGTTATTCCAATAACTTAGATCTTCCTATATTTATGAACAGTAATGTACTCAATGAGTCATCTAACATTAGCATCCGTTAAGGTTGCATCTCTATATCGAGCTTAACACTTTTTTACTCGGGATTCTATTCTCTATCTCTATAAATCTCAAATCCAGCCTTATATAGAACACTATTTTCATATCTGGGGCGGATCTTCTAATGATGCTCTTTCTCTTTTAGACAAGGTGCAAAAACGCATTGTAAACATAGTTGGACTTACTCTTGCAGCCAACCTTCAAGCATTATCACATCATCAAAATGTTGCTTCTCTTTCTATTTTCTACAAATATTATAATGGGCACTGCTCTAAAGAGCTAGTGTCTCTTGTGCCATCTACTAAAATTTATTCTCGTGTTACTCATCATTTACTTAAGTTTCATCCTTTTACTGTGATTGCTCCCAAGTGCTCTAAAAATTCTTATTCTCTCTATTTTTTTCCTTGAACATCAGTTCTTTAAATTTGCTCTCTTCCTCTTATTTTCCTGACTCATATAATTTCAAAAGTCGTCTCTTAACCATTATCTTGCTTTATAAACTTTATATTTTCTTATCCAGTTACTTCCAACTCTAATAATGGTTACTTGCAGCCTTGTTGGAAATAAAAATGTTGAAAATAAAAATAAATAAATAAATTTATTATCATTAGAAGATCTACCCCATATAATTCAAATATGGAATACTGTTGTCCCATATGGCATCAGTATTCCATATTTGGGTGGATTTGAGATTTATAGAGATAAAGAAAAGAATTCTGAGTAAGAAAATGTTGAGCTCAATAAAGAGACACAACCTTAGCAGATGCTAATTTTGCAATGGGTTTGATAAACGGTTTCCAAGAAAGATCGGAAGTAAGAATTAATCCTTGAAGATGAAAGGTAGATGAATTATTGAGTAAATTGCCATTCATAAATATAGGAAGATCTAAACTATTGCGATAACAATTGAATGAAGTTAAACTAAAGTTCCCCAGCCACTGTGAGCCCCATGCTGTGGCAGAAGTGAGATCCTTTTTAAGCTCAGATGCCCTCTCCAAGCAATCTATGATATATTATGAGTAAATGGTAGTGTCATCAGCAAACAATGCCACCTTGAATGTGAAAATATCTGAAAGATTGTTAATGTGAATTAAAAAGAGTATAGGGCCAAGGATTGAACCTTGAGGAACTGAATATTTACATAATAAGAAACCGAATAATTACAGAATAAGATGGAGTGCTGTCCATCGAGGACATCTTTTGTATTACGATTGGAAAAAAAAAGACTCAATAATCTTAAAGATGTTATCAGATACACTGTAAGAAGAAAGCTTATGGAGAGGACCAGCATGCCAAACTTTATCAAAAGCTTTAGAAATGTCAAGAACGATAGCCTTAACTTCTCCACTTGTCTAATGCACAATAAAACCTATCGGTTATTATTGTTAGCAAGATTATGAGAGATTAAGTGTTTGTTAATTAAAGATTCAAAAACCTTGCTTATGATCAGAAGAAGACTAATGGGACGGTAGTTAGACAAGTCAAATTATATAAATGAAAAAATTAAATTTTTTAAAAAACTTATTTTTTTTATATTATGAAAAAAATTAGTTCTTCGTATGTAAATAATGCTTAGATGGTTCTGTTATACGTACTATCAGCTTGTGATATTGTACTGTTTTTTGAAGAAGTCAAAACCGTCATTTATGAAAAAATGTAACTACTTATTTTATTTCAATTAAAAGAAATACATATATACAGTGTATATAAATCAACACAAATTACTTCTGTAGGATTAAATGACCTAATATATTTTTAAACTTAAATTTTGAAAATGCTAACATAAACCCAGTCATTTTATATTTATAAAATTTAAATTAAAATAAAATTTAAAATAAATTACCTGTAATACTCATTTCTTCTTTTTTTTAATTTTCACTTGTTCTTTTAATTTTTACCATTTAAAACTGTAAGCATATATAATAAACACTGTTATATATAATAAATACTGTAAAATAACATATGTAATAAACTTATATAATAAACAATGTTACAAATCTTTCTATTCACAAGCAAAAATGAAATAAAATTTTAAAGGTGTTTACAATGATTGAATTAATAACTTTTGAATAAAAATATAATAAATTGTGAATAAAAACTTGTATAAATAAAACTTATGATTTGCATATATGAGAACTATAATTAATTAGATGTTTTTTTTTTGCCATTTCCAAAGCAACATAAAAAATCATAAATAAAAATAGTACAATTTTTTGATGACACAAAATCAATTTTAGTCAATAGTTAGTTTCAATTATATATATATATATATATATATATATATATATATATATATATATATATATATATATATATATATATATATATATATATATATATATATATATATATATATATATATATATATATATATATATATATATATATATATATATATATAATGTATAATAATAATAATAATATATCAAATAACAATATTTAAAAAAATTATATATCAATAAAAAAAAGCAATAAAATCAAATAAATGTGATAAAACTTCACATTACAATTTTGATTGACTTTTATAATCAAAGATTTCTAAACAACCTTTAAAACTTGAGAGGAAAAAAAACTTTAGAGGAAAAGTTTAGTTATGCTAAGTGTTTATCAAAGATTGAAAAACAAATTGATCTTTATGAAACTACTTAGAATACAAACAATTATTTAAGTTTCAGATGTCAAACAAAAAAGGTTAAAAAAAAGTACATAAAAAGCAAACATATAAACAATTGAGCCTTATTAATTCAAAAACATTGAAACTAAGTAAATACTTTTCATGTTTTATACTGACACCAACATGTTGAGCAACAAGTACGAATAAAAAAATCATTTTATATAATAATTATATTATTGTATATATATATATATATATATATATATATATATATATACATATATATATATATATATATATATATATATATATATATATATATATATATATATATATATATATATATATATATATATATATATATTGTATATTATATATTTTTCTGGCCATTTTAAATCAATTAACTTAAAAACTTGCTCTAATAACCTGAAATCTTTAAAACTTTAAATAACAAAATGAACCAACAATATTCGTATTACTTTATTTTTATGTTATATTAATATATTCTATGTTATATTAATTTATTACTAATTTTTTTACTTTAAATAATTGAATAAATTATTATAATCAGAATTAACAAGTGTTACAAATATTAGACTATCCATTCTTTATACCAATTCAATATGCAAAAAGATTTAATAACCAATAAATAATAATTAGAATACTAAAATTTTGTATCTACTGTAGCAGTATTTATTATTTTACTTTTCCCAGACTTTTCTGTTGAAGTTTAAATATATGCTAACAATAAGCTAAGAAACCAATATTGCTTTTGTTTTTTTTAACATCCATACAATTAGCACCTCTATAACCAAGGTAACTAGTGTATCACTCTAAGTTAATCTGAATATAATCTTTATACATTAAGATGAATGAAAAATAATTTTTATACAAAAAAAAAAAGCAAATTAATATTAGCACTAGATTCATTTCAACTTTCTAATCTTTTTGGTTACATCAATTATGACTTCATTTAACAAACTATATACTTTAAAAAAACTTTAAATTCAACGTTACTCATTAGTTTTAGTTAATTGTTTTCTTCTTTCTTCAAGGAACTTTTTTCGAAGTTTTTCTAGTTCCTCTGGAGATTTTGGAAACTCGGCTCCACTTTCATTGGACAATGATTTTGATTTTATTCGTTCAATATAGCCATTAAAAAACTCAGGATCATTAAAAGCATAAAACAAAGATATTGGTCCAAAAATATAAATGGTGATTCTTGCAAGTTCAATCTTAAGGCCCATTAAAACTATATTTTATAAACCTAAATTACATATAATTTAAAATCAATTAGATACGCAAGTTAATCAATAATATCAAAATATTTAAACTTAATAAATCTATTTAGAATGTCATGGATTCAAACGTTTTTTGTACAGCACTTTTATGATTAGAATCAAACTAAATGTTTTATTCTTTAAGAATAAAACATTTAGTTTGATTAGTGCTAAAACATAATATGTTTTAGCACTAAACTAAAACATACCTTTTAATTTTATCATTTTACTAATTCAGTATAACTTTAACAAACAGGCAAATACATAATGTATTAACTTTATTGATTAATAAAATATTAGGTCATTAATTTATTAACTTACATATACCAATCTGAAAAATGTCAAGTGACTTAAAATTAAATAAAAGAATGTAGGCAGCTGTTTGTTGTAGTAGAGTGAAATTAATGAAATTACAATAATATTGTAGAACTTATTGTCAATAAGTTAAATACCACTTAACTATATATTATGTTAAAACGATTGTAAAATATCACAAGATGATTTCTCAATTTTATATCTAAAGATAAAAGCTTTAACCATCACATAAAAATTAAATGTTAAAAGTATATGACCAAATTCAACGATTGTGTTTCTAGAATCTAACAGTTAAATGACAACAAATACAAACAATTAACTTTTGATTATTTTATTTTATTCCGTTCACGTAATATAATCAGTCCCGGATGTTTTTAATTATTTTGAATCATGTTTTGACATGGACATTAATTTTACTCAAAAATGATTCGAAAGCCGCATACGTATACTAACTTAGATTTTTGATCGATTAAATTATTGATTAAATGAACATATTTTCCTGATTGGGATTTGCTGCTTTCGTGAAGATGCGGAGAAAATAAATAGAAAAAGGAGAAAAAAAGGTGAAGATTAAAAAAACAAAGATTATAAATAGAAAAATACGGAGAAGAGATCGAACTGCATTTCACCCATCCTCCCACAACGAGTGTCACCTATACGGGTTCTCCAAAAAAAAAATTAGTTAGAGATCATATATATGGTAAATAAGATGTAATATTTTGTAAAGAAAGTTGTTGCAACTTTTTTAATGATGTAAGGAGTTCATCATTATCATCATCATTTTTTTAATATTATTTATTTTGTCAGTTGACGACACTGCCCTTCTCTCCCCCCCCCCCCCCCCCACACACACACACTTGTTTCTATAGGATTTTTTTTTTTTTTAGAAAATTCGAACTTTTTTTAGAAATTGATGATTGTCCCCCCTCCCCCTCCACTTTGAAACCCGTGTCGTCGGCCATGAAATGACTACTACATGATATATAAATAATATCTCCGTGACCGAGGTAAAAATAAGCCGATAATTGTTTTTGCACGTGCTTTCAATGTAAAGCGTACTTCACGATCATTAAAAAAATAAGTTTTAACATTAAATTCAAATACTGTTAAAAACACCCGTTCTGTGTTTTGTGACGAATAATTAAAAACAAGTTATAATTAAAAGGGTGTAACTAAGGGTGTAACTGTAATCTCATTAGATTATTTGATTAAAACTTGATTATAAATTAAAATCAATTTTAATGTCAAAACTAATCTCAAAAAAGTAAAGTTAATAAAGTAGTTAAAACGAAAATTAAGAGACAAGTTAAAAGATAGTTGTTTAGAATAAAAATATTGGTTTTAAGTTGCTCATAGTTACAATTTGAAAATCTTTTATAGTAAATGTGATAAATATTAAAAAATTGTTTTATTTTTTTATCAAACACTTATTTTTATCTACAAGTTTATACATAAAAATAAGTGCGAGATAAGAGCATGAAAAGCATTGAGTGTGTGTGATGATTATTGAAGAGTTTTTCATGTGTGAATCAACTTAAACTATTAAATGAATAAAATTTTGAAAAGAAAACATAAAGATTACAAGATCAAAAATCTAAATTCATAAATAGTAATAACAATAATAATAATAACAACAATAATAATAATAACAACAATTATAATAGTAAAAATAAGAAGAAGAAGAAAAAGAAGAAAAAGAACAACAATAATAATATTAATAGTAATACAGAAGCAAAAACAAGCAGGTTGCCTAATGTTAAATGCAAACAAATTCATAAATGACAGACCTCTACAAACAGAACTTGGAATGCTCGATATCTCTGAAAAAAATATTTTTAAATTTACTTCTTTTTATCTTTAAGTTTTAGATGTCATGATAGCAAATATTTTTTAAAATCACTTTATTTCAATGAACTACAATACCAAATGAAGTACTCAATAAAAAACTTTGTTATTCTAAAAACTTTTTATAAAAAAGGTTTTAAACAACTTTTTGTTTAAAAATCAAAGAAAACAGTTGTTACGATTTTTTTGACTGAAATACAAACTATAACTTCAACATTTCAAACAAAATGCAACGAAAAAAACACTTATTTGATTTTCATCATTTAAGTGTTTTTTCAACGAAAAAAACACTTATATGATGCAAAACAATTATTTTACTATTAAAACTTTTGTTAATCCTAATTGTTTAACTAATTTAATTTTCTATTGTTTAAAAATTATGTATTGACTATGAAGTTATTTCATTAAACTAACGCAATATGTGGATGCAATATGTAGATGCTGATGTGTGTATATATGAGTATTTTAAAAGAATTTAAAAGATTTGCAGATAAATAATTGTCTCTTATTACAAAGTTCTCGCATATTGTTACGTGGTGATTTATTATAACATTGTAAACTTATTTCAAATGACAAATTAAAAAAAAAATTATAATAACATAAATGTAAAATTTATAAGTGATTTATTTTTAGGGGTCAAGTGATGCTTAAGTTGTTTTGAATAAAAAAATTTTTAACATTGATAATACGTATCAAATATTTCATACAAAGATACCCTGATTGACTGTTAACAACATCGTTTAGCAGTTAGGGTTGGTTTATATATTTCGTCATGCACAAAATAAGTTTTTTGACCTGACAGCTTATATATTTTGGACGCAACTTTGAATTTAAAAGATAATCTTTTTTTTATATTATAAATAAGGAGTAAAAATATGGTAAATGGTATTTAGCAA